TTTAAAAAAGGTATATCTAATATTTTCAAGACAAATACTAACATACGCTTTAAATGTAAGGTGGCCGGAAGATGATGTAAAAAGTGAGTTTACAATTTAATTTCTACTTACATTTATGTTTGGTGCCACTCACCATTTTTTTTCTCTTGTCGAATGATATTATGACATTCTGCATGTAAGAACTGTAAGTGGTCTGCTACCATTCGTTGTTGACATTCATGTATCACTTTAGTATATGAACTTGGATGTAAGTATTTTCGACATCGCATTTCTTCATCTTTTAACCTACCTAGAACCTGTAAAAATATATTATTACAGTCATGAACTAAGTTTTCGTATGAGGAAAAATCTAAACTATCAGTGAGTGACTTAGGTAGCTGAATTTTAATGGCTCGAGTAAACATGGGAAAGGTAATAAATAAGGTTGACATTAACAATTTCAATTTATACCCACATTCCATAAATCATTTCAAATTTTTATTTAAGCTACTAGCCATCACCTACATTCTACCACAGTCTTATGAACAAGAACTAAAGTTAAATGGTCTGCGTTGATTTTCATTTATCGACCCCATTCATCGTATCATATGTACAACCTAACATGCAATAGGAAAAGCAGATAAAGATTATTAAAAACCAGAACAGGTGGTCTCTATAAGAATATATAACTACCAAACTAAAAAGTAATTTATAGCAACTGGATCAAGCAGATTAATTATTTCACCTTGGTTTCTCTTGTAAAATGGAACCATAAACTGCATGTGTATGATAGTTAACTATCACATGAAAGATTTTGTTAAAATTTTTCAAAGTAAAAATATATTTAGTCATAGTCAACTATGCAAATCAAAACATTTATTAAAGCTTATTCTATATAAAAAGCACCAAGCTACAAACAATAACTAGCTAATTAACAAGAACTAGCTAATAAGAATAATAGCTAAAGAATTTGACAAATTTCTATCTCAAAACAAAACTATAACATTGTCACAATGAAAATCATGCCAGCATGGCACATACACATACAAATGCACAGGCTTGGAAAACATTCTGCAAGGTGAAGGTGTGTAATTGGAGTTTCTGACTATAACTGGTCCCATGGAACTATGGGCATTTGAGCCTTTGGAAAGTACTGCTGAGTCTTCCTGGGCATAAGAAGGTAAGTTGGAGGGAAAATCATTTCTGGATACTTTATCGGAAATCACTGGATGAAAATGAGCTTCAAGACTGAGTAGAGTCCCACAGTCCTGTCTCTCCTACTGTGCTACCCTGTGAAGTCAGGAACTCAGGGCAAAGTCACAGAAACCAAGGGTGGGCAAAAAGGGGTTTAGGTTAAAAAAGGTGTTTGTCACACATTTCATCCACTAAGAAGGTCACTGTCAACAATAACAAATCCTTTTAAGGGCTATTTTTACATTAAATAAAAAGGATTAAATGTATTAGTCATTTACATAATAACATACTATAACTGATATATCTGCTTGCTAAATTAACCAAATGCAACAGGAATTGGAATGTGGGTCTGAGGGAGGTGAAGGACGATGAAAGAAAGAAGAAATAAAACAATGATAACTTGGGGGAGGGAGGTGCATATCAAGAGAAAAGTAAACAAGGTCAGACTGCCT